AGCTTGTCAACAACAGCGTGAACTGTCCAGCTATAAGAATGGCACAGTTATAACAATAATAAAATGTATTTTATATGGTGTGTAATACAGTAGTATGAGGCAGAGATGTCTACGTTTTCCCTTTCTCATCCTTAGTTCTCAGGATAAGCAGTGACTAAACCAGCGTTTTTACATACCTTTCTGATAAAGTCCTTTTGTGATGAATCCAACATCATTCTTGCTATTGTAGTGCAACAGCTCCTGCAGATGATGCTGCTTGTGAGCATCAATCACAAACATAACCAATGTTAATGTTGGTACTTTCTTTTCCCTCCAAAAAAACTCCCAGGTGTTATGCACTCAAAGTTGGCATGTATGATTGATTTTTTTAATTGTACAGTCAGTTTTCAGTTATCTTTCTATTTTTCTTGCTAATTTTCACTTGTTTTGTATAGCTTGGTTTCCTCTCTTTTATTGCAGGTGGGAAGATTGGGCATGCCCCTGAAAAGACCACAAGTTTGATCTCAAATCATGCCCATTTAGGATCTTGAGAATTAGCAAGAAGCAAGGACCATTTGGTTAAGTATTTCCTGCAGACTTCTTTCTCATCGGTGCTTGGGAGTGGCACAGCTTGTTCAAAGCAATAGCCATGCGGTAGGATTGTAGAAAGATGGAGCCTGTATTACCTTTCAGCTGATGCAGTGCAGAGTAAATAAGTTTGTGCTTGTTTTTTTAATTGACTTCTTTTCCTCTGACTTCACCTCTCACTCCTTGGGATGGAATAAAGAGGAGTGTGATGATGGCTGGTTCCCTTCCTGTCCATGTAGAATATTTTTGCTGCTATGGGGTCTTAGGGGACATGGGAACAACCTGAATTGTTAACTTCTCATAGCCAACAGCTTCTGGGTTAATTGTACTGCCTAGCTGATGGACCTGATGCATCAAGGTGTACTGCTAAGCTTTCTCAGGCTAGGACTAATCACAGTTTGAAATGTTGTTGCTTTTTTTTCCTGCCTAGCTTTGGGCTTTTTCACAGTTTGCAAGGGGCTAACAGTTTGTTCGTTTATTCTATTAAGGCTATAAAGTGCTTAGACTCTATGGCAGTAAGCAGGATGGAAGTATGTGGAAAACAAATGTAGTTTTTGAGTGAAAATTTACCAAGTTGCTTGTGTCTACCATATTGGTAGTTTCTCTTGCTCCAGAAATGAACAGTGCATTGACCAGTCCACATGGATTTATTCTTGTGCATGCAGGTCAGGTTCAGAGGTGGTTGTTGCTGGTAACATACAAGGCTGGTTCCAGATGTACACAAAACCAGATTTGCCTTTGTGGCCTCAGTGGTGGTGTAAACCATGAAGTTGTGCTTCAGATATGGTGTGTGTCCAGTTTTGCCTTCACAGTGACTCAGTTTGAAAGGTAAGTGGTTGTAGGCATTGTGCAATGTGCCTGTGATGTCCAGATTGAAGCAAATAGTCCAACCGCAGCAGCGTTTGATGCCCTGCTGCTGCAGTTCAAAAATGTGGATTTTGTCCAAATATAGCCCAATGGTCAAACCGGCTTTTTCAGGTACTGGCAGGCAAACTGTGACTTTACAAACTTTTACACAGGTTACAAACGAGTCTTCCTGAAGTTGCAATTCAGCTCCAGGAGTTGTAGTTGTGTTTCCATGGGGAGTGTCTGGCTACCCGATGACGTCTTTTATCTGCAGAGACCAACCCAATGTTCCAGATGATGGCTATGAGCTTTTTAAATAGAAAAGGTTTGCTTTAACATGTTTCAGGCTGAGGTTTTGGAGGCATTTGAACAGATAAAGCTTTCAAGTGAGCTGCAAGCTAGTTTGGGACAATGTTTATGCTTAGCTGTACTGGATCATTTAGAGGAATATTTTATATTTCCTACAAATCCTGGGGCAAAGGTTTAGCCTGGGGGCTGGTGACCTAGGTTTCAGTTAGCAGCTCTCCCTCTGATAGTGGCTTGTCTGCAATGGAAGTAAGTCTAAATAATGCTTGTAGTCAGTGCAGTAACACTGGAGCTTCTAGTCCTGACCTAAGGCTTAAAACAGGACAGATTCTTTGTCCTCAAAGTAGCTATTCTTCCGGTAAGTCATAAATGGACACTGGTGACTAGATTGGGCGAGAGATCTGCATGTGGCCCAATGCATCTAATCTGCCTGCACTTGAGGTGGGAGAAGAAACAGTTTTCGGACTGTTCACCTACCCTGTTCTGAAGGTTACTGCTCAGCTCTTTCGATAATACTAAAAGCAAGGAGATGACAATGAACATTGGTGATGCCATATGAGAAATATATTAATGAAAGACTCCTAGAAGGCTAAAAAAGATAAAAACAGGAATGTGCTAGTAACACTTGTCAAGAGACATATCATCAACAAAACATTGAGGAGAAGGGGAAAAAGATGGTGGGAACCCTGTGCAGCACCATGTAGTCTCTTAGGGCTCAGTCACAAAATGAAACACAAAGTCTTATTGTAAGAGAGACAACTGACAGAGCTGAGATGGGAGCGAACTAGGACAAGAATCTTAGGTTTTTCTCTGTGCTATTTACTTATCTCAGAAGGCAGCAGTTACCTTAGTTGATTAAAACCAAGAAAAACTCTACTAAAGCTTAATTAGACGTTCTCTCTTTGATTCTGGGAAATAAGGTGTTTTTCTAGTCACTGGGAAAGCAAAGGAGGAACTTTATTGTTAACACAGTCAGCTGAAGTTACACTTACCTCCTTCTGTCATGTTCTTTCAGGGTTGGAAGTAGAGGATGGGAAACAACCTCGCCTATGAACTGGGTTGTCCATTACAGCCATTTTTGTTCTTCCTCCTCTATGCCTGAGGGTATTTATTCTTGCTGGGAGCTTTCTGAGTGGCTAAAGGAGGGTGAGGGTAATGGTGAAGCTCCTTATCCTGACCCAAGCAAATGCAGTTGGTCACTTCTCTCCCCATTCGCCCCTGCTTCCTGTTGGCAAGTTTCTTATTGTGAAAACTAAGCTACCTTGAGTTGCAAAATAGATTTATTTCTTGTTTTAAATGATTTATCACTTGCCAGTCAAGTTTTGGTATGTGTTTAAGGTTCTGAGCATTGTCACTGGGTATGATGTTTACTTTTTCAGGCATACTTCACTATTTATTTAAAACTGTTTTGAGGCATTCCTACATTTGCTCATGGTAAAATAGTTGCAGAATTTGTGAATTGTGTGAATTGGTGAATTTGTGTTCCTCATTTTGTGCCTGGTTCTGGTTATTTATGTATGGCCCTCATAGCACTTCAGTGATGTGCTTTACTTGCACAGCGTTTGTCAGTCTAATTATCCTTAGGAAGGATGAAGTTTCAGTTATTTTGAATGGCATGGCCATTTAGGGCCCTTCTTTTCAAGAAATTTTATCTGCATTTGACTTTGTGCTCTGGGAAGTTTAATTGTCCACAGAACCCTGCTGGGTTTTAACTGAATGCAAAATTACCCAAAGCTCAATTTTCTTTTCCAAAAAGTATTTTGTAATATGTTTCAAGTTGGATGTCCAGACTCCTGTTGCTGCAGCAGGTGTTTTGTGCAGAGATATGCTCTCTTTTGGTGTATAAAACTTGTCTAATATTCTGAAAAAATTACTCTGCAAAATGCAATCTTTAGTGCAGTGTTGTGGTAATGGCAGAAATATCTGTCAAGACAATTTTAACGATGCTTAATGTTGCATTGCAGTTTTTGTTAATCTGTGGGGAAGGTCATTCCTGTTTTATTTTCTTTCCATAGTGGCACATTGAAGCTGTTTATTAGCACAGAGAAATTTAGGTTGTAAAGGACCTCTGGTGGTCATCTGGTCCAACTTCCTGCTCAAAGCATGTTCAACTAGATCAGGTAAAATTTTCCTTGTATCTAATTTAATTTTCCTGTTTCACAGTTTATGTCCATTACCTCTTTTCCTCTTACTTTGCACCTCTGAGAAGAGTCTGGCTCCGTCATCTCTGCACCCTCTGACTGTAATGGTAACTGTAGATAGAACTAAGGTCTCCGCAGAGTGTTCTCTTCTCCAGGCTGAACAAACCCAGTTCCCTTAGACTCCCATGCATCCTCTGCTTCAGCTCCCTGACCATCTTGGTGGCCATCTCCTGGACTTGCTCTACCGTGTCCATGTCTCTCTGTTATTGAGGGTACCAAAACCAGGTGCGGTACCCCAGATACAGTGCTGAGTAGGGAAGGGCAAACACTCCTCTTGACCTGCTGGCTACAGTCTTGTAAATTCAGCCAGGTGCACACTTGGCCTTCTCTGCCACAAGGCACACTCCTGACTTGTGTTCAGCTTGTCCGTTGCTGGTCCTTTTCTGCAGGCTGCTCCCCAGCAGTTGACCCCAGCCTGTACTACTGCATGGGGTTATTCCCTCCCAGACGCAGGACTTTGCATTTGCACTGGTGATCCCCACAAGGTTCCTTTCAGTCCCCTTCTCCAGCTTGTCCAGGTTCCTCTGAGTAGCAGTCTGACCTCCAGCCTCTTGACTGTTCTGCGATTAATCTGTGAGCTTGCCACAAGTGCACTCCGTTTCATTGTAGTATCAGTCCCTGAGGGGTACCGCTGGTAGCCAGCTGGACTTTGTGGGGGTAGTGTAACCCTTTGAGCATGTGTGGCCAGTTCTCCCCAGATTTTCATGGCAGCATTCATCCTGAACTACTGAGGCTGGTGTTCCCTGGTATATACTATTTTTGAGCTATAAAAGCTCTATTTAATCTGAGGAGCCTGGTTTTGTGTGGGGTGAACATAGATTCTCTTCCTTACATTGAGCAGAAGCTCTGTGTTGGCTGGTGGCTGGCCAGCCAAGAGTGGGGAAGGAATGGGATGGGATGCGATAGCCTTGTCTGATGAGGCAGTGATACTGGACTTTAAAAGAACAAGTGGAAGAGAGCCTTCGTAAGCGTGACTGGCTGCTCTTGGGAACAGTGACGAGGCAGAGATCCCATGTGCTAGATGTCTGTAGTCTCTGTTAACACATTTCATATCTACAGGTATATTTACTGGGGTGCAAGATGTCTGCCATGAGGCTGATTTCTAACAGAACCTCCCAGCAGGCCCTGTCTAACTCTGATTACACCTGGGAGTACGAGTACTATGAGTATGGACCAGTGTCGTTCGAAGGCCTGAAGGCTCATAAATGTAAGTTCAAGTAGAGGCTTCACTGCAGTAGAGCTTCCCCATCTTAATGTTCCTATTCTTCATTTCTAACTGATTATTGTAAAAAAAAAAAAACAAACTCTCCTGATTTTTTGGATTCTCAACAATTAAGAGTTATTACTCATTTTATTAGATTATTATAATTGTTTATGATTCTATGTCTTTTTATTGACGGCTTTTCTTGTGCATGAGAGAACCATGGATTTCTTGTCTGTGGTAGAAATTTGTCAATACTGAAGAATATCAGATGGTCAGGAACAGTTTATAACAGCAAATACAGCCGCTGTTGCTTCTGGTGACTACATGGGATGATCCGTCTTGCTCTGTTCTTGTTTCTGTTCATGCTAAAATGGCAGTGGTGGGCAGCCTTACTGCTTTTGTTTTTCTCCATAATAAAATAAATTTAAGGCTATAAAAGATTTAAAACAACAGAATAAATGTCTTTTTCTGAAGAAACTTTTGTCATTGGGATTTCAGAGAAGAGTGTGCGAAATTCAGCATTCTGCTCATACTGGAGCTGTTTTACAGTAGAAGTAACAAGGACAGGGACCAGAGAGATGAAAAATATGAGTAGGAATTGAGAGGAAATTTAGCTAGGACAAGCTAGTACAGCTGGACCAATATTTATCTAAAGTCTAGGCAATGGCTTTGACTTTTATTAAATTTTTTGTTTTGGAGGACATGGATGGATGTGTGTAGAAAAAAAAAAAAAGTAACAGCTTCAGAATTACTGAAGGTGTTTTGGAAGCACTTTGCCAAAGGGAAGCAAATAATTTTGTTTCTTTGTTTCTGAGCTGGATACACTGTGAGAGGGTTTGAGCACCAGTCTTCAAAGTCTTGGGGAAGGTCTCCGTCCCCTGCTGGAGCACTGGCCCAGGGTGGGATACATACTTTCTGCCTCATTCATCATGATAAGGTTTCAGACAGGGAAGGAGGGGTGCTTGCAGTGGCTATGAGTAGCCCAGAAAGGCTGATTTCCCTTGGCTCTGCACAGTCAGGAGGTTTTGGGGAGACTTAGTAAGGGTCAGAAGAAAATTGTTGAAGTTCTTAATACTTCTAAAAGAACTAGAGCAGAAGTTCTTTTTAAGACTGAATTGTACTTTACCTTTTTTTTTTTTTTTTTTTCCTCAGAAGACTGCTGATTACTGTCTTTGTTTTAACAAGTGTTAGGTACTTGAAAAATGTAGGTTAGCTTTTATGATTTTTCTAATTCATATTCCATTCTTCCACTTAATCAGAGGCCAAAACTGATTACACAGATTCCTGATTACAAAGATCAGCTGCAGTGTTATGTACATACCTTCTTTTTAGCTTGGTATGTCAAAGAATATGACAAGAGAAAAAAATATAAATTATAGTTACTTCTGGATTGCTGAAGGTATAGCAGCAAAACAGATCTTGGATTGCCGTCAAAGTGATTTACTTTGGTGTTGCTGCACGCATTCTAAGAGGGCTGAATTTAATCTGGGAACTTGAACTGAAATACTGATCGTCTTGTTTTCTTTTTTCACCAGATTCCATTGTGATTGGATTTTGGGTTGGTCTTGCAGTTTTTGTCATCTTCATGTTTTTTGTCCTGACCCTGCTGACGAAGACAGGAGGACCACATCAAGAGTGAGTCTGAAAACTGGAATAACAAATCCTACCTCCTAAGTGGTGCGTTTGTTCTGCAGCCCCCGAACAAGCAGCAACAGTGCTGACACTGCACTGTCTCAACACCATCTTGTTCTGTTCTGTCCGTATGAAAGGATGCTGTCTATCTTTGTTTCAAATAATCTTTGTTCCAAGCACTTCTAGCAGACCAATTCCGTAGAATTGTTATTAATATGTTCCCTATTTAGCAAATAGTCAGTAGGCCAGCAGTAAGAGAAGGGAATGTCTGCATGTATTCTTTTTCATGCTAAAAATGAAGTTGGTGGGTAGGCTGCCAAACAGGTGGCTTTAGATTACTGTTCTGCAAATAAATGGGGTCATTCTAAGTAGGCTCACATTATTATGAAGTGGAAAAGAGAAGCATGAATATTGACAGAGTATATACAAATAAAATGCAGTGCAGATGTTGAATTAAGGAAGTTGAAGTCTGGAGGGTTTCCTTGTGTTTGTGTGTTCAAGTCTAAAAGGTAGATATCGGGCAGTATTTACAAAGTCTTCTCTTAACCCTGTAGCTCCCCTAGTCTAAGAGTGTCTTAGTTTCTGCTGAGAAATTCCAGTAGATGCTGAAGTACAGATCATCTCTTTTTCAGGGTCCCCTGGTCACAAATTGCCCCTTTTTCTTGTTCTTTCCAGCTGGTAAGGATGTGCAGACCATGCCTTGCCTCAACAATTCATCTGCATTTGCACAGCACACAGGCTGTCGGTGTCCCTTCCTCTGAGAAGGTTTGAACCCACGTCTCCTCTCAGGCTCGTGTGCCATAAAGTAGAAATAAAAACCCTTTCTGGAGAGTGAGATTGCTGCTGGCAGGTAGCAATGATGAGCAGCTGATTGTGAAACGCAATTGTTAGTGCTTATCACTTCCTAAAGCAGCCTGCCTTTGCTGTTTAGTCATGTGTAGATGGCTCTGAAACTTGATGCAATAGCACATCTCTAGAGACAGGGCCGTATTACAGAGGACGTGCATACATCATGAGCCTCTTCTCTGCTGCTAAATTTTTCCTTCCGTGAGAAGAAAATAGAGGCAGAATAATTCAGCTTCCCAGAACTGACTTGCCGATATGTTTGCCTCACTTACGGGCTGTCATGAAGTAGCCAGATCTTGCTCCCAAATATATTTAAAGTCCTTGTAAGTGTTGGTGTGCTGCCTCTTTTCTCTAGAGATCTTATTTCTTAGCTGAGCATGTGAGTCTGTCCCACATGAATAATTTGAGAGGGAAAGAAGTGATGAAGTCAAATATACAACAAAGAGAATTTAATATGGATATTTGTCAAAAGTTGGTATACTTGTAAAAATGTATTTTCAGGTAGCAGAGGGCCTGCTTGATATCTCCCACTGTTTTTCTGCTTCCTTCATCAATTTTCTTGGAACAGGTGGCCTGGAGGGTTTGTGAAACCTCCATCCTTTGGTCAACTTCTACATCCAGATAACCTGAATTCAGAGTTGGCCTTGCCTTCATCAGGGCATTAGGCTAGAGACCTCCAGAAGTCCCTTCCAATAGAAATCTTAATATCATTTTTCTTCAGTTGCTGAAGAGAGCCCAGTTATTTCTTTCTGTATTTGTTTTAAACTTCCTTTGCAGCTTTGGGAGCTGTGTACTTGAAAGCTTGCCCACTCACTATGTATGCTTAGTTGGCACCTTTAACAAATTTGAGCACTATTTTTTTGAGATTTGATAACCAAATGTGTGCAGTACTGGAAATGGATCATCCAGGAGTAGGCTAAGGGCAGTGAATACTCTTGTTTCCTCTGATGTTTGATACATGTATATAAAAACTGGAGAACATAAATACCTACCTGCCAAACCAGCGCAGACTGTGGTTTTAGTTTTCCTGCATCTTCTGTCTTTAGACCTGACCGGATTCCTCATGACTCATTGTTTCATTAGCGGGTTGTCTTGCAGGCCTCCTTTAGAAATAGATGTTAATGGGATTCCTAGGTCTTGGGAGAGAGCCAGCCTGATTGATGGACGTGTCTCTGACTTCACTAAGTCAATTTAGCTGTTCTTTAAAGTACCATTAATGTAAGAGGTAAGTGTAACTGGGTTCAGACAGACAGGTCCAAAATAGAATACTCTGATTTTTCTAGTAGTATGCTTTTTTTGTCTCAGTATGAAGGGGTATGATAGCACGTACTTTTCAAAATTGTACAAGATGTTCAGAATTGGGTACGTTCTTAGACCAGAAGAAAAGGGTCAGTATATGGATGGGGAGAGGTAGAAATTTAATTAGCTATGGTAATGATGCCTGTTGCACATTTTCTTTTGTTTCCTTGCATATTGTAATTGTAGAACATTAGGTTATGTGATTTAAAAAAAATTGTTGCCAATCTTTCGGAATTTCTGCCTGAGACGTAATCTTGTTCACCACTTGGGAGAAGATAGTACGCTATGTTTGTTCCTGCATTTAAAAACATCCTTAAAAACATATTTGGGTAACAAATGCATGTGTTCATGTACCCTATCTGTACAAAATACTGGCTGATGTAATTTCAAAGCTTCATGCAACTATTGAGGCAGATTGTGCAACTAGCTGCAGCAAAGGTGAAATGAATTTTTTTTTGACCTTTTTTTTTTTAAGAAATCAGTTGGTTTTTGTTAAGGATTCTGGGGTGAAATCCACTCGGAGAAATGCAGAACCACTGAAAACAAAAAAATGTCTCAGTTTCAGGGTAGCACTTCCTCATTAGTACTACGGGTCTGGTTAGATCCCCCAGGTTCCCTTTGAGATGCCAAACCCTGCTGTTTTGGAGGATTGGCTTCTTATTCCTTTCCGTAATTTGCCAAGTACACCAGGTCGCTTTAGGGAGTGTTGAGAGAAGTGGAGTTTAAGCTATAGAGAAATCTCAAGTGTCAGTCTCAAATCAGTATGCCCCTGTTAGAAGGATACACTGGGCAAAATGGTCTGTACCCTGACCGTACCCTCAAGACCAGTGGGTAGAGACCGGAGCTTAATACTGAATCCAGCAGACCAGAACCCAGCATCGTAGGTGAAGATTCCCAGAAAAAAGGAGCTTGGGTTAGTTCATTGGTAACTGCTTGTTTTGAGTAGTTTTCGGTACGTGTGACACTCAAGGTGTCTGGCATTCACCTTCCTGCTCTCTTACTGGCAGCTTCCCCAACTCAGAGGGTCCTGTTGGCCCAAATATTGGAAAAGGGCTGTGCTCTCTTCCGCAGGAAAACTGGAATTTCTGAGGCTGCTTTTCTTATTTTCAGTGTTCTGAAAAGGATACACACTGAGGTATAGTTACATACTGTAATGAGCAAGACTGTTCAAATTTCAATTCTAGTTTAAAAAAAAAATACTTCCACAAAAAACCAGAAAGATAGTGTTTGAATTTTAGAATCCAAAAATATGACTGTGTGTTACATCACGTGTTCCCTGCTCATGAGCACAGGATTATTCTCTGTTGTATGTCTTCAACATCCTGGGTCATCATAAAATTTCTTTGCGTCTTCTGTTCTCCCATTTAGATTAGGTAGCCATCACCCGTCTTGTGTGCTCCTCTGTACAGTGAGCCTTTGCTCCATCACAGCTCACTGGATTATAAAGCACTTTCCACACCTATGAACTAGTTTTACTTCCCTTATGGATGCATTTTCAGCCTTCTGCTTTAAGGTTAGCTGTGACTGGAAGACTAATGGTAGGTATCCTCTGAACATGAAGGTTCAAGGGGTAGATTGCTGAAGGTTCCATCTGAGGCTTTCAAAAGCATGTAGGCACACACTTACCTCCTACTGCAGGCTCGAGGGAATTAAATTCTAATATTTCTCTGAAGATCTGTGTAAGTCCTGTGTGCCTGTTTAGGAGTCCAACTATCTGGCTCCAGTGTTGTTTGCTACATGTTCACATGTAAACAGTGTGATTTATTAATACTTACTTAACAAAACCTATGTTCTGAGAATGTTTAATTTTTCACTACTCATCTTCTGACTGCCTCTGTTGCCTTTCAGATGCAAATAACTTGCATTTTCTGATGATAGGATATAAATTCATCCTGACAGAGACTGTATTACTTTCTGTAAAACTTCCATCTAGCTTGAACTTTTCTCATCCCCAGCTCTTCATGGCTCCTGTAGAAGTCCATGCAGATTGGAGCTGGTTTGAGCTAACACTTCTAGAAAACTCCAGGAGAGATGTTAAGATGTCCTTCCTATGTGTCTGAATTGTTAAGACTGCTAGTCTCTAATTCCAGCTCTCCTGATTTGGAAATCCAAACATCATTAACTGAAGTCAGTGGAAAAGACGGTTTGATGTCCAGACAACCAAGCACTCAAATTATGCCTTCAGTGACTGCAGTGCTGCCTGTGTCTCAGAAAGATTTTCTCTAAGAAAGATTTTTCTCAGTCTTCTATAAGTAATTTTAAAAAACTTGTTACTACTGAATAGCATTTCTAAGCTCATTGAGTGAGCTGATTATTAAAGTATATTGATTACTAGAAGTGCCATTTCAGAGTGCTGGCATTGATAACTTATTCCCATGAGAAATTATTACGATAAATCAAGACTTAAAATAGCTTCATCAGAAAATAAATAGTGCTGGCTTTTAAAGTTTGTTGTAGATAAACTGTAGAGTTTCCTTTCTTCTTGATTGTAATGGTTGCTGAAACCCAGTTTGATATAAAGAACTCAAATAGTTCTACTTCAATGCTTACTGTATTTTTCTTTTTCCTCCCTAGCAATGCAGAACCTTCGGAAAGAAGATTTCGCATGAATAGCTTTGTGGCAGATTTTGGAAGGCCTCTGGAGTCGGAGAAGGTCTTTTCTCATCAAATAGCTGAAGAATCCCGGTCACTTTTCCATTTCTGTATTAATGAAGTGGAACATTTGGACAAAGCAAGACAAAGTCAGAAAGGTCCGGATCTGGAGAGTAGTATTCACTTCAAGGAAGGTCCCAGGAGCAGTGGGATGTTTGAGGAGGACCTAAATTGCCTTACAAAATTTAACATTCCTAACTTTGTGAACACTGAACAGAACTCTTCACTAGGTGAGGATGATCTCCTCATCTCAGAGCCACCAATCATTTTAGAAAGCAAATCAGTCATGCAATCTTCCCATCGGATCCTTGATTGAAAAGTTTACTTAAGGTAAACATTCCGTTTGAAGCCTTTCTTGGCCTTTTGGTATTTTGATAGCAGGTGTTTCAGACCAGTGCTTTTTATTGACAGAACTCAGTTATGACAAGAAGTAAATCAGTGAATGTTTTATTCTGATGCCTTCTGCAGTCTAAACCTTTTGCCCGGCATTATTTTTGCTTTCTGATTTTTTTGTTTTGTTTTGTTCTTTAAGTGACTGCTTATGTCCAGCTTCTGAAGGATACCGTAATAACTTCCAGGGGGTGTGAAGGCTGGAGTCTGGCATTAGGAAGTATATGAAAACTCCTCGGCCAAGAGAAGTGTAAACCTCAAATTAAGACTGAAGCAAGGAATAAACAGGCAGCCCCTGGGGAAGTTCTACGGCTTGTGCCACTCCCAAACAGGACACTTGGAACTGAGCAGCACAATGGATATCTGCTTGGCGTTAACTTCAACTTCTGATTCCTAACTGCTTTTTGGTGCAGGTTAAACTGAACTTAGAAAGCTTACAGAGGGAATACCTTGCATATTAAATCGTTTGAATACAGTGTTTACAAAATGCTAGAACCACCTCCTGCTGAGTAAAGCAAATTGGTGCCTGTAATTACAGTACTTCAGAGTGACATTCTGACAGCTGCCCAGTGGTGACCTGGTTAGTATTTACATAAAAAGAGTAGTTTGATTTTTTTTTTTTCAGTTGTTCATGCAGACTTCCAGTTTGGTTAAATGCAGGATTCAGTAGCTAAATCACAGGAAATCAGATTAAAACTATTCTTCTTTTGCCAATAGAGTTCTGAGGTGCAAATGGTGGTGCTATGTTAAGCTGGTGTTATGCTTTGCCTTCCCATGCTTTTTGGCTCTATGTAAGTCCCTTTTTTGACCAGTGGGACAGTGAAGCTCTAGCAGCCTTTGATTTGTTGAGAGGACTAGCTCCAAAAGCATAGCTGAGCTACACTTGCTCCATCCTCTTTTTGTACTCAGTTGAGATGGTGTTGCAACCACAGCTGATCTCCCAAGGAAAGGTTTGTTAAGGAATTGAATAGGTGTAATTTCAACATTGAAGTTTATTTTTTAGAGAAGGAATAAGGTTCTGAACCATAGGCAGTACTTAGATTACATTTCAGCTTTCCTCAGAAGATGGCAACTAATGGCCAAATGGTTTTAGGAAGCACATAGGATGCAGAGGAACCAGGTTCAAATCCTTTGCTGGATTTTGAGTAAGAGTCCTCTGCAGGAAGTTCTTAACTGAAATGAAATGAGTGGATTCAAGATCTTTTATAGCCTATTTCGGGATGGATGAGCTGCCTTCAGTGACATTTGATCTGTTCTTTATTTTTTTCCTTTGCCATGCTTGAAAACAGAAATAGTGCTTAAATGAGGGGGAAAAAAATCAGTGTAGAAGAAATATCCATCTCCTCTGCAATTGAGAAATGAAGCTTATTTTTAAAGCATTTAAAACTAGGCTTTGGAATAATGCAGGTATGGTTTTAGAAAAAGAAAAGCTTGCTATTCCCAGTGGGCTAACCTAGGCTTTTCTTCCATCACCTGAAATCTCTGGCTTTTGTTTAGGTGCATAACTGCTACTTTGGGGAGTAAGGAGTATTCACGTGTATGGATGCTGGTGACACTTCATGCCTAGATGCAAGGTATTTAATAAAATGATTGAGGGATAATACCAACTTAACTTACAACACATTGGAATTGTAGTCTTAGTGTCTTTCTGAAGCATGTATTAATCGTGTAAAGGTATTTAAGTTTTTGGTTCCTGCTTCTGTTGTTCCCTGATGGTTCTACTTTTCCCATCTTATCTATCTTTAAAGTCCTTCATGCTGCTTTTTACAGGAAAATAACCTGCCAGTCCCCACTGCGCAGCTCCCATGTGACTTCAGAAGCACTGTGCAACCATACAGCCTGATTCAGATTTGTGCTCTGCCTCTGCATTAGAGCAGAGTCAAAGGTAAATGAAACTTTCTGCAGTCTTCAAAAGCAGTTATTTTAAAGCTGTTCTTTCTTTTTCCTTTTTAAGAATGAATAAATATGAGTTTTGCCTCAGGGGAAAGGGGATTGGTATAATAACCAGCTTTGTAGAACATGTTTAAAACAATTCATCCTTTCCCAGAAAACCAACATGAGTTGGTTCACTATGAAGTGAACAGAAAGTGTTTTGACCAGGGTAATCCTTCAAAAAGAGTACTTGGAATTTAATGGTGTTAGGAAATGGAATTATTTCAAGTTTTCTTACTGCTTGGGCTGTCTTGAGAGCCCCTTCTCAAAATTAATTATAAATGCATCACCTGTGGTAGATTTAACTTCATGGAGAGTTCCCCTAAGATAATAATTACATACATTTGCTTGCATAAAGATGTTTTGTATTGTGTAAGAACGTAATACATCAAGTTATGTATTCCAGTTTTCAAAGGTGGATATTTGTGAAGTGTTTTTTTGTGTGAACATGTTTTAGTTGTGTACCTTTTTTTAAAAACAAAACAAACCTACAACTTCCTGCTCATAGAGAAAAGAAATGGAAAGGTAAAACCATGAACTTCTCTACCACCTTCCAGTGATGTACAGTCCCTGAGGCTAAGTGATACGTGTCACGCAATTTAGTGTTTATGCACCTCAGCTGTAGATCTTGAATATTTTAATACTGACTATTTTTGCCACTCTGTGATTAAAAGAACCCTGCAAAACCCTTCTTAAGCCAGGGGCAAGGGAGGAATTCAAGAGTGCTTTTCCCCTGCTACTCTGCTCTATCCTCCTGGCAGTGAAAGATGACAAAGCTAAACAAATCAACTGGAGATACTGGGGAGCTGGACTGATCCTCAGTGTCCTCAGGGTTTGACAGGTAGCAAGGACAGCACAGAATCAGAGCCTTTTACCATGTGTTCTCCAACACGAGCAAGAGATAGAGGCCTATGCTTTCTTATCTTTGGACAAGAGGTATGTAGTTAGCTGTATGAAAGGCTGAACAGTATGATTCAAAGTTATCAGAGGTCTTTCTTTTCAAAAGAGTCAGGGCAGCACTTGATGCATGCATCTGATCCTGCAGAACTGGGTTTGCTCTTTTTTCCAGAATAGGTTAAATACTGGAGAGAGTGGAAGACTTCAAACTGTATTATGTACTATCAAATAAAGTCTTCATCCACAATAACCTATTTAATTTGTTACCTGAACACTTTTGACATGTATTTTAGAAAACCTGAAACAGAACACATTACCTATGCTCTGCCACAAGTGCCATGATGAGACCTGATATTCTTCTGCATACCCTCTTTTCCTCTCTTGCAGTAACTGTCTTCTCTGTAATCTAGGTCACTGAGTCACCCACCCAGCTGCTGACTTGCTTTCCTAAAAGCTTCAGAGATGACAATTCAAATTATTATACTCGAGCTGCTTTGCTGTAAACAAATGACTTCCAGCTAAACATAAGGCAATAATTTCCTGGAGAAAAGAAGGCTCCGAGGAGACTTAGTATCAGCCTTCCAGTACCTGAAGGGGGCTACAGGAGAGATGGGGAGGGGCTCTGCATCAGGGGGTGTAGGGAGAGGACAAGGGGTAATGGGTATAAGCTGAAAGAGGGGAGATTTAGACTAGATATTAGGAAGAAATTTTTCACTGTGAGGGTGGTGAGGCAGTGGCCCAGGTTGCCCAGAGAAGCTGTGGGTGCCCCATCCCTGGAGGGGTTCAAGGCCAGGCTGGATGAGGCTTTGGGCAACGTGGGCTAGTGGAGGGTGTCCCTGCCCATGGCAGGGGGGTTGGAATTCGATGATCTTTAAGGTCCTTTCCAACCCCAACCACTCTATGATTCAAATAAATTATATTTAATCTATTTATTATAATAGCTGCTGGAAATGAACAATGAAATAGTATGGCATAAGAAAAGGAAAAACATGCATAAGGAATATATAATTCTGTTATTCTCTGAAAGATCCAACTGAAATCCTCAGTGGAATACAGCAGAAACTAATGACCTGTTTTGTCAGCCTTTGTTCTGTTTCAGGGTATTTTTCCCTTTCTGTGCTGTTAAGACTGCTGGAGAGTCAACAATTAAAAACTCTTTATCAGAGAAGCTAAAACTTGGACCTTAGTTCTCCAAAAAGAACACCATTAATACACCATCCAAGAGCAGAGATAGTCTGTTACGGCGTAGAGTGCCCACTTCGTGGTAAACACCTAAAAACTAAAGACTGTGCTTCAGGGAGTGTACAACTACATAAATAGATGGGAGAACACACTATGAACCATAGCATAGTTTACAGTAACAGTAAATAATGCTGTTTCTGCTCAGAAAGATAGAAAGAGAATTAAATTTGAAATTTAATTCAAACTATGTAAGATACCAGCATTTGCTGAGAACTGAATGTAAGAAGTTTAAAAGGTGTTTGAATGAACTGCATGAACGCTAAGGCAACCCTCTCTTGATGACCTGAGGATTACATGTTTGAGAGGGAGAGAGTTTCCAGCAAGCAGAAATGCTTCCCCTAGGCTTTCCTGTCCTAGGCAGTGCCCTAGCATACCTGCATCCAGGACCTGGCTTGCTGTAAATTAATTAAAAAAAAGAAAATCTTACTTCAGGTCACATACTTTAATAGCAAGAAAATAGAAATAAATAGAAAGTTGAAATTACTCAGTTTTATCTTTTTCATTTGCAAAACAGTCCCAAATCAAAAAAATACAGCATATTTACAGATAGCTGACATTTTATATGCAAAGCATTACTGTAGTTACACATTGTATGAATACAGACTAATACTGAATTATTGGGAGACAAAAAATCCATACTAAAAATACTGAAAATGTCTGAATATCAAACAACCACAATTACTATATTAATTGCCAACTGACCATCTTTTTTTTTTCCTCTCTCTCTATATATGTGTATATACACTCTCACTTTGTGTGTGTATGTTGAAAAAAAAAATTCCTTGTGCTGTTGATTACTGTCTGTGCCTATATGGTATATTTTGTTCTTTCTGCATGCTCAGATGCTTGTATAAGCCAAAATGCACGTTTGCTGCTGGTCCCTGAAGCAGCGTGATACATGAATACATACATACACACACCCCTGAACTATTTCACATTTGACTTCAAGGCTAGCTTCAGGGACCTGAAGAGCACATTCTAGCTTTTCTCTTCACTTTGCCCTTGATAAGTATAGTTGATTGATCTACAACCTCAATATATCTGACTTCTTAAGAACTTGCAGTGCTGAAACTTCAAACTAGTAATCTGCTGCTTTCATTGTTTGAAAAACCTGTCATCACAGCCACCAAATAGCTATCCAGCTTGAATTTTCTTTACTTACTGCTGCTCCTTTTCCTGTCCTCTTAGCAGCAGGTTTTTTATAGGACAAGTGTAACAGCCACCCTCCTTTCCCCTCCCCAGTCTCCTCTCTGGAGCAGGGCAGCCTCTGGGGGTTCACAGTTTCCTAAGGCTACCTTTTCTAGACTGCTGATGGTTCTTTCCCTCCAGTTGGTCTGTCTCTTTTTTGAAACAAGGGACAAAAAGCTTAGCACACCAAGTTACACATTAGTAATCCAGTAGGAATTGCTCCTATGCTGCCTAGTATCTTACGGGCTCTGCGCTTAGGTGTGTAACTCCAGCAGGGCGTGAGAGGAGCCCACTATTTGAATTTGCCCACCACCATATCCCTGCAGTTGAGCTGTAGTACATTGTTTTCACATTTGATTGGCCTCTTTATTCTGTAAAGATCATCTATGAAGATGGTACTCTCACAGGTTTAGAGCAGTCCCTTGTAAAACTCTTACTCAATAGCCTTCCCTTTTAGAAGGGATACCAATAACTACTCTCACACTGTATTTTACAGGTGGTTTTTTTCCATATCATCTGCCCCATAACAATTCAGCTAGAGCCCTCTGCCATAATTTTTACCAGCCCAACTGGAAATATCTGCAAAGTAAACAGAACAGTTTGAATTTGAGCATCACCAGAGAATGCCCGCTCTGTTCCAGCCCTCCAGTCATTCACAAAGTTGAAAGGGGTCTTAAAGATAAGGGAACATTTTGTGAATTGAAGAGAGAGAAGCAAAGTGTTGAAAAAAAGAGGATTTTCATATCCTACCAAATGAAAAATAATAACTCTCTATACAAAAAATACAAGCCAAAAAGCATATTACTCCCAATTGTTCACAATGGAATCACCGTAAGACAAGTTATAAACAAAAGTTTTAAATATTCAGGCATGTTCTACAGTATCTGAAAAAGCATCAAATGGAATTTCTCAATGGCAATTGAGTTTAGGGAATAACCTCAATATTCATAATATTTTTTAAAAATTGCATGTAACTTTATTCCTAACAAAATATGAGACTTACAATATGACTGGGGTGTTGCTCAATGCAAATATACCTTTGGAGAAGAAAGATTCCAGACATGATCAGAATGTAAATCAATTTACAAGTGTTACATTAATGATTTTTAATTATATTTTCCATATATAACTTTGAGTATTAAAATTCTGCTTCTGTAATCAGCTCCTACCTAATCATGTCTTCCAACAGCTGTCTGTCATGCTGAATCCGCTGGAATTAGGTGCAGGAATAACAACCCCTTGTTTCTGCAGTTCACGTAAAACATCTAATATTGAATCCAATTCCACTCGGAATTTCTCTAGTTCTTGATTCTTCCATTGTGCCAGTCTTCGCCACTTCTCAGCCTCATGGGTTTGTCTGGCTTCAGTAAGATGATGTGTTAGTTGGGTTGCCTGCAAATTAGAAGCAAGTCAACATCGAGACTTCCTAATCAAATACTCATTGCTCCTTGGCAAAAATATACCACTTCATTACACTTGGTGTTCAGTCTCAAAGCCCAATGCTCTCGTTAAGTGGAAAGAATTTGTTCTGAATATTACAAAAATCATTCTGATAGCAATAAATTCTTTTAAATATTTGCATTATGACAGAGGGGTAGAATCCATTACTGACTAATGAGCCTCAGGAGAATTGAACTTATCCTCTCCAAAGCAGCAATTAAAAGTTTGAATATTTAAGACAAAGCCGAGCATATAACATAAAACCCGCTGGAATGAAAATGAACCTTTTGAATTGCCATCTAAAGGTGTTAATTAAAAGAACACTCTGTAAGAGAAACAAACCACATCTGAATGACATGTTCTGGGCTTTTAAAAACCACAAGGTCGATGCATTATCAGAAAATATCCAGTAGTCACAAAGGTCTGAAGCTGCTGCACATAAAAGTTTGAATTAATTTTGATATAAATCCGTGTCATAATCCTATTAAATTACCCAAAAGTGTCACGAGATATCAAAATCTCTATCACTTAAAGGCTACAATGATCGTATTTGTCATTTGATACTAGGGATAACCTGTTACTTCCTTGTGCAGCAACCAGTTTTTCTACATATTGTTCAGTTTGTTATAATTGATTTTGGGGACTGTTTGGTGCCCCACTGCAGATGATTAAAAGTGCAAAACTAGGCCAAACAAAACCCAAAGCTTAATACATAACAAGGCTAGTAGCACCAGGAAAGATGAAATTACTTAGTAGTAGTTGTTGTGTATACTATTATTTTTATTTTTTTAAATATATTACAAAACTTCTTAGTAAATACTATAGTTCAGGTAATGAATTCAGTGGAGATAGATCACAGACCAGGCAGCAGCAGACGCTACAGAAATGGTAAAGAAATTCTCACATTATAGAAAAGCAAATGAATAGTATAAAGAAGTAACTGTATTACAGTTGGCTTCAGCAGGTCAGATTGTGAACAAAAAGAATAAAATCATCAGTGGCAGCAGGGTTCGTTCTTAATCCAGTGACTGGTTTTATGCACAGTTCTTTTTGGGAAGAAAATTAAATATCTGATGTAGAAATGTATGAGAATAAAACCTTCTACCACCAACAATTCTGTACATAAAAGACCTGGTCTCAAAACTGTAGAACAAGCTCCACAAACTAAGAACTCCTACAGGTTTGATGATCTTCCAGTCCAACTGCCCTTCTTTGACTTCATGTAATTAAGTAAAACCTAAATTAAAACACTAATGAAAGACAGTCATATATTTAACTGATTAAAGTGTTGAGAAAAAAAAAATCTAATTGAACTAGAAAATGTTTCCAGATGATAGAAGCTCCCCAAATAGATGAAAAATCAGGATGGAGGCTATTAACATAAGAAGAAAAAAAAAATCAATGCAAAATTGTTTTATCCATTCAAAGGATACACGTGTCAGATACATGATGACTAGCACTGCATCTACATCCACTTGCATCCGCAGGCACCAAGGAAAACCACGGCTGCAACAAAAAGTACTTGCCCCCCTCCAGCGTGGGCTAAATGAGCCTGTGCAAATGCCATAAAATTACAGTGAAGCTGATGAAATTGCTCTTGAGAAGTACATGGAGAGATGCTCTGGTGTACCTTTTGAATTTCTTGCTCTCTTTCTGCATGTCTGGTCTCTATATGCTTGATTTTCTTTTCCAGGCACAAGAAATGTTTCATTTCAGGACTCTGGCTCTCCTTAGCCTCTCTCAATTCTTCCAACAATTTTGTCACCTACAGTTTGAGAGAAGTGGTGAAAATTACTATCATTGTGTTAAGTAGTGCATAAACCAGATTCCTTTCAAAGTGTATTTGTGTTGTTTAATTATTCCATTCAAAAGCTGCAGAAAGGAAGACATAAAAGAGAAATCTCCTTTATTCAAAAGCTTAAACAGGTACTCAGGGACTTAGATTAGGATCTTTCATTTGTAAGAAGTGGCCTGAGAATATGAAAAATGTTGATAAATCCAGTCCTGTTCATAATATGTTATGAGGCGATTATTCATAGTCAATTTTTACACTTCTAAACATGCTAAAAAATTAATAGAAAATATTATGATTAGGTGTTCTTACACAATCCTTTCTCACACTCTGGATAAAGATCAAATATAAAATGTCCCAGGGTATTTCTAAGGAATAAATTAAGAAAAGACACGCTGCTAACAGACATGATTACAAACCCCCTTTGGTCTAACAACTGCCAGGTCAAATCAGCTCTACCAATGACTTACAACTGGTTTCCTAACCCTCCAGACATTCAGGTAAGTTTTCTTATAAAGCTCGACTGGTTTATTTCTATTCTTTGCCTATTTTAAAGTAACTTAATATATCTTCATTTAGCATCCTTTTTTGGTCACTTTGTTAATGTGTGTAAGTAAACTAAAGTGAAAACTTTGAAGTCATTCGTTATTGTAACTCTTAGCTCCCCTTACCCAATGGATCTGAGAACTGCTCTTCAAGCACTCAGCTATCCTTGGCTCTCTGCTGCTAAACTGAAGTAGCTGGAAGCATTGTGTACTTCATAAGACTCACTTCATCTCACTCCTACTGGGAAGTGACTCCAAGATGGCTTATATTATTGCCATTTTTTTACTTTGAACCTGTGGACCAATTTCAGCCACATTTTTCAGAGGAGCAGAAGTCTCAGTATCCTAAGGTCTCTGAAAACGAGTGTCTGCTGATTCTCTGCTAAGTTGCCCCACTGAAGGGAAGGGCTGATGCGTGATTGCAAGCACATAATTAAATACACAAAAAAAATAATGCAGGAAAGATGTTAGGAGGGGAAAAAGGCCCCAGGACAAAATGGGCTCCATATATTTTGCCAGCAACAGAATTCTTAAATACAAACCTCTCCCACGTGCAAGCTGTTATGCAAGAGAAGAATATAGTTCATGGAGAACATCAATGAACAGCATTTCTGAAATTAATATTCAAATAGCAATCTTCCAGTGAGCCTCAGAAAAAAAAAAAAAAGGTTGCCTTTTCTGAGGTACCACAATTTTGGACAGAGGACTCAATCCTGTTTAAAACAGTAGTGTGCTTTTCCCTGTCATGACTGACTCTGTTTGCAGGTTTGGTTGTCTTCTTTTTTCAGCTCAACTTACTTAACCATGTAATACTTAAAATGTAGTTTATAAGCAGCACAGCAATCACACTAAAGGGCAAAAGCAAGGCTTTACTTTGATGTATAGTCCCACAATGATTTTTCTAACAGAGGCACTTCATTGCATTTTCTTAAATGCCAGCACTTTGAACTCAGCCTGTAACGTGTGGGTCAGATGGGATGGTCATTCTCTTAACCATCACTGGCATTAATAATCTGTAAAGCAGTCATGGAAAAAACCCAATTAATAACATTTGTCTCAATTTTTTCCAGAAGGAAGTATTATATATAAACTGAGATAACTGGAGTGAAATAGGCCTTGTATGGAAAGGCAACATCTATCATTAGATTCATAACATGAACCCAAAAGTCTCAGCCTTTCTTCTGCAAGTACAGAGCTTCTTTAATAGGAGATTTTCTTCCTCTCCCTACAAACCTTCCCTATTCTATAAATACTTCACAACAGAGGTGGAATTTTGCATGGGTAAGATAAATACTGAGTGAGTTTAGCAAGATTAGGATTAGTTATATTAAGTGTGTACTAAACACATACGGATACTTCTCTTATTTCTTCTGAATAAGGGCAGCAAACAAGATTAAATGTCTAGAGTTCTCAGTCTCTTACAGAACAGGATTTGTTTTAATAACTCTTGCAGGTTAATTATTGTTTTATCAAAATTAAGATAAAATTAACAATGTTCATACATCAAGGAGATGGTGAATTAAGGATGGGCACAGTGCTTAAACAGACTATATCCTCCTCCTGAACAGGTGATTAAAAAATATATTCCATTCTCTGGTATAATTGATGTAGAAGCAACTGACAAAGATACCATTTCTAGGACTTATTTTACTATGTATTATTTGAGCCTTTACAAGGATGAAAGTGAAAACTCTTTCATTAGAAGAATGTACCCCCAATCCAAATTCAAATATACCTCTTTTTGTAGGAGTTCCTCCCGCATCTGTGAAACTAAAAGGGCTTCCCGATGTCTCTGCTGTTCCCTGATTTGTTCTTGGAGATGTTGTATTAGTATCTACAAAAAAGATTAAAAATAGTTTGTCTTTAACATAAATACCCCATGACAACATGTGAAAAAAATACAATAAAAATATCATCAGTATTTGTAGTACTGCAGGTGTAAGTGATGCAGGTATTAACAACACTACCTGCAACACGTGTGCATGTGTGCTATTTAGCAATCCTCTGCGTGCATTCATCCTCAGTTAAGAAAGGAGCGACAGGAGAAGCAGCAATGGGCACAAACTGAAATACAGGAGGTTCTGTCTGACTATAAGAAAAACTACTGTGAGGGTGACCAAGCAATTGTTTGGGTCTCTAAGCCCAGAGAGGTTGTGGCATTTCTCTCCTTGGAGATATTCAAAAGCCATCTGGACATGGTCCTGAGCAACCGGCTCTAGATACCCCCCTGCTTGAGCAGGGCACTGGATAAGGTGACCTCCAGAGGTCCTTTCCAAGCTCGGCTGTTCTGTGGTTCTGTGAATAGTGCCCCAGGCCCATTTTTAAAACAATACATCCTACTTCAAAGAAAGAGAAAGCTTATAGCAATACAGAAAGAAATAACTTTAACATATGTAATGAATATATCTACTGTATCGTACCTCTTGTGTTGAAATTCTGCTGTTTAGTTCAGCTACTTTAGAAGTCGAATGCTCCTTTGCGTGTTGGCAAAGAATCTTCTCCACTTCCCTCTGATGGGAAGCTTTCAGAGATGCAATATATTCTGCTGTGTCTTCCTGTATCCTGAAGAGAGTGAGAGGAAAATAAGATGTAGTAAAGCAGCCACAGACAGTTCTTCAAAAATGTGGCAAAGTTTCTCATTTTTCAGATATGTTGGATATGTGCCTCATTTAACTGGAGGCAGCTAGACAACAGAAAACTCAGCCAGTCATTTTTTTTTTGGCTCCTCTTATAAAAAACAAGGAGAGAAAATAGGTGCTTTTAAATCATAATGCAGCCATCCTATTTCAGGTATCTATTTTAGAACAGAATGTGTTGCAACCTAAATATGACAATTTCCTCTACGTTGACTCCAAGGGAGACTAGGTAAAGTAGAAAGTTTCGACTGAAGTATAAAGTTGGTCGAGTAAATCCCACTGAAAGCATACCCCACTTTGAAGTAAAGTATGTGCACCAAAAATCCTACACAACACAAAGTATCTAAGGTGCAACAATTTACACCGAGATCTTTTTACTCAAAACCATGACCAATTTTAGTATTTAATAAGAAGGATTAATACAGGTTTGCCTGTAGAAATAATTGTGACAGTGCACTGCTCTAAAAAAAAAAAAAAAAAAAAACCAACCCCCAAACCCTCCCCCAAAATAAACCCCAAAAAACCCCCCAAACAACAAAACTCCCTCCGCAAAACCCCCGAACCCAAAAACAAACAGTAAAACTGAAATTTCCAGAGAACACTGGCCAAGTACAAGCTAGCTTCACACATGGCTGACATGTCAATGTGTCACTTCAATCCTGTAGCAGCCAACACTTGAACAAGGTTTTTAAAGGAAAAACCTTTGTACATTTACCTCCGTATGTTATTTTCAGAATAAGCTAGTGTTGCTTGAGACTTCACCCTCTGCTGGTTCATTTCTAGAGACAATCTTTCTATCTCCTCTTTCAGCTGTGCATTTTCTTGCAGAACTTCTGAGATATTAAAATCAGAAAATGTACTTGGTTGGTATATTTTGTCATTGCTGAAAATGCTTACAAAGGGTTCACTGTTGCTGGAATTCCTTTTCGCTGTTGCTGAGGTATTCTTTTTCAAGATCTCTGTAGAGTTTTCCTTATTACTGGTTTTATTTCTCAAATTATTATCAGACAACATCACCATCCTTTCTTTCTGAAGTTTCTCTACAGTTTTTGTAAGGTCTTGTATTTCTCTGTTTTTGGTGAGCAGTTCTTCAGTTAGTTTTAGCAGTCTGTCTTTTGTGTTACCTTGTTTCCTTGGAGAGTCTGTGGACTCTACGTCTTTATTATCCCTTTTACTTCTGAGTTTTAATTGCACATTTTGACTTTTAAGGTTTTCAATTTCTGTCTGGAGGTTTTTAACGGTGATCTGATGGGTCTTCTTTAGATTCTGAAGCTCCCGTTCAAGGTCTGTAGAACCGGCTTTATCACCATTCAGTTTTGGTGATTCCCTCAGAAATTTGTAGGCAAGTAGTTGCTCAAGCTCTACAAGTCTTTGCTCATACTGTATCTAAGGGAGGGGAGTGGGAGAAGGGGAAGAAAAAGCAGTTTCCTCAAGTGTACTTTTAATATCAGCTCTTCCTATTATTCTTTAAAGTTACTGCACATCTGAAGCAAGATTTCACGAGACAGGATACACATCAGTGTTACTAACAACACCACTCAATCAGTTCAGAAACTAGTGAGTGAAAAATTTATGTAAAGCAAACTTAAGTCTGCTGTAAAACAGAATTACTCAAAACATTCACTACAAAGTAATCCTCTACTCTCAATGAGTGCAGCAACTATGTGAAAGAAAATTAAATTGACAAGAAACTATTTCATTTTTATATAAGTGTGTTCTCTTCAGATGTTACCAACTCGAACAGGCAAAGCAACATCTTATTTTAATATAGCAAGAAGTCTTTAATTTTTTAAAAAATCTGCCATTATGGATTTGCCAGGTGTCAGTTTGAAAACATGTCACATGCCTGAAAATTGTGCTTCACATTTTTCAAAACATCTGAGATTTTCACAGGACAGATTTTTATTTAATTTATTTTTTCAATATAGAAGTATGAATTCAGAGAGACACAGAATCTCTCTTCCTAATGAGCTGAGGAAAACCTAACCCCTTCTAGTAGCCTGGATAGCCTCTGAGGAAAGCACGGTGAGTTATTCACATGCAGGAAAGGAGGAACAACTGGCCAAAGCTTTCCTTTCCAGCTCATTAAGCACCTGTGCAGTTCACATTTTCCTTGAAGTAACACGCCAGACTTCCATGCTTCATTACACAAGTTAAGGCTCACTACCATGCAATTTTTGGATAGCATGGTTAGTGTTCCCAGATATTCCCTGCAGAAATGCCCAGTCAGCAGCCCTTTGAAACCACAGCCTTTGGTACAGCAAAGAATTAGGTGAGCAGCTACTCTGTGCCATAGGATGAAATCCACTTATCTTAATTGTAAGAATTAAATTATGCCTCAAGAACTTGTCCTCTCAGTTTCAATACTACTCTAACAATTTCAGTACCATTTTATTTTTATCTTAGGTGCTGAAGCTACTGAAATTCTGGTTATAAATTCTTTGAAAATTTTTTCCCCTTGAATGTGGTCTTTGCCCTCAGTTTTTCACCACGACCCTGTGTTAGACCTCGGTAACCTTCTGAGTGTTACTTGCAGAGTAGACTACTTGACAAGCCGCCAACTTTTACCTTTATTTTTTGAAACTGTTGTTCCATGGCACGGAGACTTTTTTTAGCTTCATCATCTTTACCTTCAAGTTCTGTTTCTAACTTTTTTATTCTTCTCTCCAAAAAATCAACGGTGTTTGTTTTAGCTGAAAGATCATTAGTTTTCTCAGCAGCAGCAGCATAAATCAAAGCAGGCAGAGAATTTGGATACCTTCTTTTTAAAATTCCTTCCATTTCTCTGATCTATCAAGAAGAAAACTAAGTCAGAAGTCAAAAAGAATAAAGTTCTGATGAAAAGTGAACCTGCATGAAGAATGAAAACTCTAGATGCATATGTTGAGAACTTTTTACATTGTTTACGTTATTGCTTACAGAAAAGCAAGACTCATCTCTTACTGACTTATACATCATCTTAAACAAAATATTGCTCTGGTCTTCAGATTGTCTTATATCAAATGGACCTTTTATTTACTTTCTTAACACTTAAGTTGTATATGGTTCTTCATGCTGTTAAAGTCTTGGCTTTTTTTTCTGGACCTATTTCATAACAGTACTGAAATTATTCTCCCAATAACAGATTATATGCCAAATAAAACTAACACCTTGAATGCAAGATTAATAAAATAAGCATTCTCTATGGATGAGAAATTCTTGACATTAGAATACTGCAGAGTCTCTTGCCCATTTGTCCCATATCCCTACCAAATGCAGCTGCCATCTCCTAAAATTCAGAAAGGCCCATTCCACCTGACTTTTCCTCAGTAGGAAACATGGATTTTAAGGTCTCTGCTCCCCCAATTTTCATGAATCTTGTAGGAATCCAATAAAATTTAAACCTGTACTCTTCAATCGACTGAAATTGGTCATAATGTTAGGGGGTTACTGAACACAGACAAAAGGAATCTTGGAAGACAAACAGCAAGCTTCTGTGTGCTTTTGTCCTCTTGCGCCTTTCCAAGAAACTCTAAACAGTAGTTTAATGTTAAAGGATTTTGAAAGGGTTATCAGTAAATAGCTTATTAGAACATAGTAGCAGCAGAGCCCTTTGTAAGTAATTGCAGCTTTTTGTGTCGAGTGTTCCATAGCACAAGTTACTTTATCATAGGGCATCATTCAATGCTTTATCCTTATAAAAGGGCTAGCAAGTGTTGTGAGAAACCTTATCTGCAATAAAAGTTAAAGCAAGCACAGTTCTATTATTGCATACTTGTCGCTCAAGATCCTGAATTCTTTTAGCATCTGCTGCTCTGTCTCGCAAACGCTGCTTCTGTTGCACACGCTGATCTCCAGCTTCAGCTCTGAGCTTCTCAACCTATCCAATTTATGAGAAAACAAACTGAAATACATATTCAGAGACGCAGTCCTGTAGAACAAAAGTAAGCATTTCAAACGTGCACAATATAAAGGAAGTATTCTGCAACTTGAGAACTGGTACTAGTAATTTCTGTACTAACTGATTCTTCAGGTTCTTAAAGTTAACAGCTTCTTCAAGCCACTTAGCATCAAAAGGGACTGAAACTAGCTACAAAAATAAATCCTGACTCCCAGGATCAGGGGAAGGAACTAGATAGCTCGTGCTCCTGCATCCCCATGAAGTCTGGCCATGAAGACTCAAAGCTCTAATCTAAAATTTAATTTCCTACCTTTCTAATAGCCACTATGATCACTCTGCAGGGCTATTACACCTTGTATAGTTGGAAGTATTCCCATCGTGATTTCTCTCTCACACTGGCAATGTTAGCATAAGTAATGGTTTTATGCCAGCACAGTTTGACTAACTTGATTGTTTCTATGAAGTCAAAGTTCTTAATTGTTTTTAAACACCAGTCCATCCTGGAGAAAATGCAAACAAAAATATTTTCTTTCACAGCAATGATATGTTGATCAACGTTTGATATGGTGATGTTTAAGGGTTTTCCTTCCCTGGGTGTTCCTTCAGAGGCACCTCCTTGCATCTGTGATCTCTTTACTAAAACACCATGAAAAAATTCCAAGATCATTTTATCACTGGTAAAATTATTGATTTCTATGAATCTTAAGTCAAATCTACTGACAAGCAGGCAATGCAAATCTCAGAACCATTCAAGATTCATGTATTAGTTTTGCTTGCTTTCTATTTCGAGGATTTTTGCTTTTTTCCTCCCTCCTATGGCAACCAGAGAAGTTTTCTAAGAAAAAAAAAAAAAAAGAATTTAGAACGGGTACTTAAGTGAAAAAAAAAATAAAAGTGATTCCTATGCTACAGCAGAGTAAAAAGGAGAAAAAGAGAATGACAAATGGGATGTTCCAAGTTGTTAATGTAATTTGCAGGTTTTCAGGAAACACGCTACTTTAGTTTCCAGAAGCATCAAAATGTCCAGTACAAGCAACACCAGATTTTAAGGATAAGGCACTTGCAATTCTCACCGCATATGCAGTAATATCCATTTTGCATATAAAGACTCCACATTTGATTTAAAAGCTTATAAGGCGTTGACATGTCTTTTCTTGAAAAAAAAATGTGATTATTATGGACACAACTACATTATACTCATCACTAGAAAATAAATAATCTAGTTTCAACTTCTTAGATAAAGCTAGATATAATCACCTCTAGTTTTAGTTTCTCAATTTCTTCTCTTGCATCTTTAAGATGGGCTGCATCTTTATCCAGAAGATCTTGATTTTCTGCATACCACTGAAGTCTTCTTTTTAAATTACTAATTTCCTGTTTGTATGATTCTTCCATAACTATAAATTCATAAGACTTCTCACCTACAAGAATAAAACATCTTTACTATTGTTTTATTAGTAACTATGTATTGAAGAATTAATTAGTCAACACTATACTTCTCAGCACATTTCACATATATACTAATCCTGTTACTGCAGTAAAGTTTTAAAACCAAACCCTAATTAGGTTTTTAAATGCAACAGAATTTGAAAAAAGCCTTTTTTCTCTCATATATAGTAGTACTCAGTGGTTCACAGTTTACCGCAGAAGGTATGTAAAGCGGAATCCCAGGGGGATCGATTCTTGGTTACGTTCTAATAAAGAAATTTTCAGTATCAACATGGATGACAATACAGAATATATGCTTAGATATATACTGACCATACTGCACCCGTTTATGAGAAGAGACATGGAGCTAAATATTACAGCTCTTAGCACTTGTGATGCCTGATACTGGAAGTGAAAGAGTCCAACTTCTGGCCCTCTCTCATTAAGAAAGCTAAAGTCAAACTGAAAAGAGTTCTGAGCAGAATGTTGAAAAAGAGTCACAAGGCATAAGTAATGGGAAAAAATGGACAAGATCTAAACAGGAGACTAAGATGCAACACAGTAAATATTTTCTCATGAACAGGGTTGTCATATAAAAGGAATAATCTGTTTTCCATGCCCAGTGGGAGATAGGCAAGAAATCCAACTTAATGGGCAACAACAAAGAGTCTGGCTGGATACAAGAAAAGCCTTTCTAATGGAATGCCAAAGGTCCTTCGCTATATGCTTTTATTAGAAGTTCAGACAATATTTGGAAATGGTCTAGATGCATTTGACAAAGTAATATTTTAATAAGAAACAAATTTTAGTTACATATTTTTTTAGTGAAGCACAGAGTAGGCAGAATTATTTAACAAAATGAAGGTGTTTTACCTGATGTGGATACAATCTGGACTTTTGCTAAATCTCTCTCCTTCTTTGCTTGTCCCAAGTCTACCTCAAGAGCTTGCTTGTCTTGTTTGAGACGTCTTATCTCTTCTTGTAATTTAGTTTCTTCCTTCTGAGTTTTAGAGAAAATGGTAAGGCAAGAAAAAATAATCACACGTTGTTATACAAAAACCTGAATATGCTTTTTCTCCATAAAATGATTAAATCACAACAGTTCCATCAGAGCACAACAGCAGTGAGGATTTCCAGTTTTGGTGTTATTCTCAGGCCTTGCTATAGCAGTGCATGGGAAAAATAGTTTTTTTTAATAAGTCTTACATAATTGTGTTAGAAGGAGAAAGCATCTGCCTTTGGAGAGGGACAGTAAAGAAAATGGTTTCACTTATTTCTAAGACTTAAGACTGCAGCTTAAGCAGACAGATGTATTCTCCAGCAGTTCATCTTACCACATTCAATCTCTCACCATTTTCTGCGTGCACGCCCTCTTCTGTTTGTTTATATGTGATCACTAGCAAACTTCAAGACTAAGTAGGAGGAAAGGTCTCAGTGCCAGCCTCTGGAGCTTCTTGGTCCTAGAGATCCATAGGTACAGGTCGCAGCAACTGTGGGGGCTGAGATTTTGGGGCCAGACAAAGCCTCTAGGGACAGCAATGGCCGGCACGCGCAGGTATCTGTGCTACTGCTAGTGAACTCCTGTCCTGATCTGCTCAACAGATCCTTGTGTTTCCAAGAGTACCGTTTGTATTTCTGTGGGGTGAACAAAGGCACTGCTCTCTGTGTTATCTGTGTGCCTGACCATGTTAGTCTTGTCTGTGTGTCTCTCTCTGTCTTTGAATCTTGTGTTCAGTCTTACGACAGGCTGGACCTACGGACAGGAAAGTGTAGCAGCAGCACCTCTGAGGTTTGAACTAGGGGAGCTCCTGCAATCTTAAGAGCTCAAAGTCAGCTCTAGCAGACCAG